GCATGCTAGATGGTTCTCCATCCCCTCACTTTGAATCTGCAGGTGTCTTTAGGTCTAAAATGAGTCTCTTCTGGGTAGCATATAGATGGATCTTGTTTTGTTTATCCATTCTGGCACCTTTTGTCTTTTGACTGGAGCATGTAGTCCATTTACATCCAGAGTAATTATTGAAAGATATGAATTTAGTGCCATTGTGTTACCTGTTCCTGGTGATGCTCTTTGGTCCTTTCTAATCTTCGTTGCTTTTGGTCTTTTTTTTTTTTTCCTCAAAGAATTCCCCTTAAAATTTCTTACAGAGTTGATTTAGTGGTCACAAACTTCTTTAGTTCTTGTTTGTCTGGGAAACTATTTCTCTTTGTATTTTGAATGACAGCCTTGCCAGATACAGTATTCTTGGCTGAATATTTTTTCCATTCAGCACATTGAATATATCTTGCTACTCCTTTCTGACCTGCCAAGTTTCTATGGACAGTTCTGCTGCAAATCTGATCTATCTTCCCTTGTAGGTTAAGGACTTTTTTTCCCTTGCTGTTTGCAGGATTCTTTCCTTATCAGTGGATTTTGTGAATTTGACTACATGTGTTGGCAATGCCTGGCTTTTGTTGAATTCAATGAAGGTTCTCTGTGCTTTTGGATTTTAATGTCTGTGTCCTTCCCCAGATTAGGGAAGTTTTTAACTATAATTTGCTCACATAAACCTTCTGCCACTTTTTCTCTCTTTTCATCTTCTGGGACTCTTATGATACAAATGTTGTTATATTTTAATAAATCACTGTGTTCTATAAGTCTTTGTGATCCCTGACCTTTGTTTCCCTCTTTTCAGCTTCATTATTTTCCATAATTTTATCTTCTATATTGCTAATTTGCTCCTCTGCCTTGTTCCATCCTTGTTTTTGTGGCCTCCATTTGGGTTTGTATCTTGGTTATAGCATTTTTAATTTTGGCCTGACAAGATTTTAGTTCTTTTATCTCTGCAGAAAGGAATTCTCTGATGTCTTCTATGCTTTTTTCAAACCCAACTAGTATCCTTATAGTTAGTTCAGACATCTTACTTAGGTCTACATTGATTAAATCCCTGGCTGGCATTTCTTCCTGTTCTTTCTTTTGAGGTAAATTCCTCTGTCTTGTCATTTTAGAGGAAGAAAAACAATAATAATAATAATAACAGGATGAAATAAAAATTTTAAATTAAATTTCTATCAAATAAAGGAAGGTAGGCCTAAGCTTGTTTTGGTCTGCTTAAGAGAAGCTTGAAGAAAAAAGAAAAGAGAAAAAAAATTAAAAATTAAAAAAATAATAATAAATTTTGTTCATTCTGCATCCAAGAAATAAAAGAAAAAAAAAACAAAAAAACAGAGGCAACAACAGCAAATGAACAACAACAAAAAAAAAAACCCAAACGAAGCTAGATCACCTAGAGCTGAAATTTTGCAGCAGTCTATGATCAGCAGACTGAGCTCATGGAAGGCATTGGTGTTCTTCTGGGGGAGTGGCCTGTTTCTCTGATTCTCGAATGGACTTAATCCTAGTGGAGATGTGCCTGGAAGGCACAGGTGGCCGGTACTTGGTTTAACAGTTCTGTTCTCCACTTGGTGGTGCTGTTTATCTCACTGGGGTAGATACTTATTGGTGGGCTAATGGTAAAAATGGCTTCACTCTGCTCTCTAGTCTCCAGAGTGGGATGTTTGTGCCCACACAGATGGACGATCAGTCTCCCCTCCTGTGTCCTCAGCTCCCCGCCTTTCCCGTCTGTGTCCTAGCTGTCTGCCTACCAGGAAGCACCTCTCCAGAGTTTTGTCTCAGGTGAGGCTCTGTTTTGGAACCCCACACTTCAGAGACCCCCACGGTTTGAAACCACAGTGATCTGAGGGAGCATCTCACCGTCCTGTGGCCAGGGCCAGCTTGTCACTGGAAATAGTCGCATCACCATGCCGTGGCAGTGGCTCAGTTTATGGTAAATCACAACACAGCTGGCACCAGGATTTGCTGCCCTCAGCCGACATCATTGTTCTTATATGGGTGAATGTGGTAGCTTGATGGCACCCACTAGGTCTTTTGCCTGGGGAGAGAGCTTATCACCTGTACCAAATGCACTCCAAGCAGGGGAACTGCTTCTCCCCAGGGGACCCAGGGGATCCTTGGACACTGCTGCTTGCTCCTGGTGTTCCACCCTGCTTCTTTGCCAGAGCACCAGCCAGGCTGAGCTCTGAAACTTTAGACACTGCTGTGTATAAAAACGGATAGTAGTGATACCTTCTCCTTTTTCCTTTGTCATTGCTTTTGGGGAACAGTCTTCTTGTGCAGACCCCTGTTCATGTTTTCACTCCCCCTCTAGCTGCTTTCAGGGGGAGTGTCTTCTTGCACAAACTCAATACGCTGCTCTCTCTCACCCTGTGCCTTTCTCCTCTCTGTGAAAATGGCTCCTTCCCCTCTGCTGTACCACAGCCCTTCTCTCCCTCAATTCACCTCTCTGCGCTGTACCTGCAGTGTTCTCTCCCTCAAATTATGTAGGTTGTTCTATTAATCCTCAGATCGATTTCCTAGGTGTTCAGAATGGTTTAATGTTGATCTAGCTGTGTTTAGGAGACAAGTCCAGAGTCCTCTTACTACTCCACGGTCTTAACTCCCCATTTTTTAGATTCTTAATGTAAGTGCTTAGATTACTGATTTTACACCAGTCGTCTAGTTAAATTAATTAAACATTTAAAGCAATAAAAAATTTTAAACACTGAGTTAGCTCCATTTCACAAATTTTTAGACATCTGTTTTCATCATCTAGCTGTATTTTCTAATTTCTCTTGTGATTTCTTCCTTCATCCAAGGATTATTTAGAACTGTCTTATTTAATTTTCAAATAATTGTGGTTCCTAGACATGTTTATTGCTCATAACTTCTAATTTCCTTCCATTTTGTCAGAGAACATTCTGGATAATTTTACTCTTTAAATTTACCGAGACTTATTTTATAGCCCAGCATATGGTCTATCTTGGTGGATCTTTGTGCACTTGAACAGAATGTGTATTGTAAACTTGTTAAGTCAGGATGACTAATAGTATTTTAAGATGACTTGTATCATTACTGATTTTTGTGTCTAGTTCTATCAGTTGCTGATAGTGATTTTTTAAAAATTTATTTGTTGTCTGGTTCTAGCCCTTGCATGCAAGGTGTTGAAATCTCCATCTAAGAGTGTAGATTGGTCTGTTTCTTACTTCAATTCTCTGAACATTTGCTTGTTACATTTTGAAGCTCTGGTATTAAGCATGTACGTGTTTACAGCTGCTTTGTCTTCCTAATGAAATGTTCCTCTTTGTCTCTGGAAGTATTGTTTTCTCGAAGTCTGTTATATGAGATATTAATATAGCCATTCCAGCCTTCTTATGCTTGTAATTTATATGATAAATCTTTTTTCTTTAATCAGTTTTTAATAAGCGCCTTATTGAGTTATAATTCACTTACTGTGCAATTCAGTTGTACACATTAGCAGTCACTACCATTTCCCTCCAGTCCTAGGCAGCCACTAGTAAATTTTATTTTTCTCTGGATTTGCCTATTTTGGAAATTTCATGTAAATAGAGTCATACAATATGTGGCCTTTTGTGACTATTTTTTCACTTAGTATAATGTTTTCAGGTTTTATCTATTTTGTAGCATGTATCAGTACTTCATTTTTTTGTGTGTCAGCTAATCCGTTGAGTGAATATACCACATTTTATCCATTCTTTCTGGGTATTTTGGGTAATTTCCGTTTTTTGACTATTATGAGAAATGCTGCTATGAACATTCATGAGAAAGCTTTTGCATAGACACAGGTTTTCATTTCTTTTTGCTATGTATCTAGTAGTGAAATTGCTAGGTCACATAGTAACTATGTGTGTAACCTTTGACCTCACCAACTCTGTATATGCTCACCACAATTACATCTACCATCTGTCATCATACAATGTTACTGCAGTACCATTGACTGTATTCCCTATGCTGATTTATTCGTTCCGTAACTAGAAACCTCTACCTTCCCATCTCTTTCACTCATTTCTCTCATCCCTCCGTCCCCTCCACTGTGGAAACCACCAGTTTGTTCTCTGTATTTATGGGTCACTTTATGATTTTTTTGTACGTTCGTTAGTTTTGATTTTTAGATTTCACATATGGGTGAAATCATATGGTGCTGTCTTTCTCTGACTTATTTCACTTAGCAAAATACCCTAGGTCCATCCATGTTGTCATAAATGGCAATATCTCATTCTTTTTTTTATAGCCAAGTAATAGTCTGTTGTTTTTTGCTTATTTGAATATTTGAGTCCTCTCAAGTTAGGTCTCCACTGATTGCATTTTCCCTTGAGAATAGGTCATATTTTGTTGGTTTTTCCTATGGTGAATAATTTTGGATTTTATCCTGGACATTGTGAATGTTAGGTTGTGGAGACTTCAGATGCTATTATAGCCCTCCAAAGACTGATACTTCAGATGTAGAAACATTTAACTTGCTTTCACTCGAACTATAAATTTGTCTGTCTTGGGCAGCAGTTTATTTTTTCTTATGTTTTACTGGCTTCTTGTAGTCTGTACTAGCCTGTGATTCTTTAGGCCCAAAGGTCTATGGTTTTTCTACCTGAAACTTCAGATTCCCTATGTACTGCTGATTGTGTTAAGCCCTCAAGTGAAAAAAACCATAAAACTAGAAACACCCTGTTCTGGTCATTTTTTCTAAGTGTCAACTATAGAATAAGCCAGCTTTTGTTCACTTTCCAGGGTGTCCAAATAGTTTTTGTTTATTGTTGTATATATTTTTCCTAGAGTTTGTGATTGCTGTCCTGAGAATCAACCTTGTGGGAACTTATTTGTCCATACCAGAAGCTGAATTTCCTGTCCTTAATTCTAAACATACCTAGTTTATAAACTCTTAATCTTGTAAAAAAGTCATAATGTTTTAGGAAATATCACATTTAAATCTTTTATACTGAATTGAACTTTAACAAACCTTGTTGGTTCTTTTATTCTAGACTTCCGATTCTTTAATAAGTAATGTGCCCGAGAAAGATCTCAGACCAAAAAGAGATACGGATATGACTTCTGAAAGCGAATATGGAAACAGAAAAGAATGTAATAGGAGAATTCCTCGAAGATCAAAAATCCCATACTATTCCAAAACTATTCAGACTATTAAGCACCACAACAAAAACAACCCTTTTATGAGGTAATTGTTTTAGTTTTAGAAATTTGAATAAGGCGCAGAGATACAAGTTAATACTGTTGGCTTGTTCCTTTAAAGCTTAGAGCGATATTTCTTAACTTTTCTAATGTCAGAGATTTGACTTTTCAGCCTTGCTGGCTCAGATTTGATCAGCACGTTTATATACATTTATACAAAAGGATCCCTTTCTCTGATAGACCGTCATTACCTAAGTTGTGTAAAGTAGAATAAATACTATACATTTCCGAGTTACTACCTGTGTTTTTCTCTTTGCAGTTGTAATCGTAAAATGAAACAACCTTTCTTTAAAGACTTATATGTAAGATCATCTTTAGCAAACTGTAATACATTAGAAGAATCAGAAGAACAGAAAAAGGAGCTCATTAAAGTAGACAATAGTAGCTCAGAAGACACCACTTACCGGGTATGGCATAGGAGATTAAGAAAAAATGAATGTGAATAATCTTAGTTTTAAATGTAGAATTAGTCCTAGTAAAATAGTGCATGTTTTTATGAGCAAAAAATACTGCATATAATTTTATTAGGGTGATGGTTTGGGTTGTTTTTCCCTTCCTGATTTGCAGATTTTGTATAACACTATTTTTGCAAATTGTAAAGGAATGAAAATTATATATTTATCTAAGGTCAGATTTTGGTGAAATCATTTGTTATATGCTTCTGGAGAAAAAAACATCAGAATTTTCAAAGTCTTATTTCTTAAAACAGTGGTTCCTTTCTTTTGGGTCTCAGACCCTTTTAAATTTCTAAGGAAATTTATGGGTCTTCTCTGAGAAGTCTACTTTACACACTCAAAAAATGTGTATAATTTCAAGGTTTTCACGTACTCTGCTGGAACCCAATTTTGGATGCATAGATCCCAGATTAAGAGGGCTTTAAGGGCACCCAGTAGAGCGTACAACTCTTTATCTCGGGGTCGTGAATTTGAGCCCTGTGTTGGGCAGGGAGCTTAATTTAAAAAGAAAAAATTTAGAAATTTAGATATTTAAATTTAGAAATTTAAATATTCTTCAGTATTTGCCTTAATCATTTTCATGTTGTTAAGAATTTTAGTACACATTGATTTATATTTTCCATCAATTTGCCCTTGCTTTATTTGTGAAGTGCTACTTACACTTTCAATTGTAATGTGCATTGTTGTTCCAGTAGAATAATTGCTTTTTAACCTGTATCACACCTTTCATGCCATTGGTTTCCTCCCCCTATTCTCAAGTATAGAGGCTTTAATGTTTGAAAGATAATAATCACTAGGACAATAATAATACCAGCTAACATTTATTGAGTGGCTATTATGTACCAGGCACTGTTCTCCACTGTTCTATATAGTGCTTTACTTCCATTAGTTTGTTTAATTCTTACCACAGCCCTTTAAATTAGATAACTATTGGGGCGCCTGGGTGGCTCATTCGGTTAAGCATCCGACTTCAGCTCAGGTCACGATCTCGCGGTCCGTGTGTTCGAGCCCCGCGTCGGGCTCTGGGCTGATGGCTCAGAGCCTGGAGCCTGCTTCCAATTCTGTGTCTCCCTCTCTCTCTGCCCCTCCCCCATTCATGCTCTGTCTCTGTCTCAAAAAGAAATAAAACATTAAAAAAATTTTTTTTAATTAGATAACTGTTATTTCTATATTACAAATGATAAAATTGAGGCAGTGAAAAGTTAGGTAACTTTTCTAGGTTCACATAACCCTATTGTTTTCTTTCAGACACTCCTTCAACAACTAGACCAAGAGAGAGAGAAGAGGTGGAAAGCTGAACAAGCTGAAAGGAAACTTAGGAATTATATTGATGAACTGCACAAACATGCAAAGGAGAAAAAAGGTTTTCATACCCTGGCTATGCTCACCACAGATAGGTAAGGGCAAAGTCTGTAAATCTAACTTGGAACTGGAGTACCTCAGTTTACGCTAGCTGTAGTAAGACCAAAAACAATGTATGTGATTTTAGTTTGTTTTGAACTCATTTTATTTAAAGATTTAATGCTTTATAAGTTTTTTTTGTAAATGAAGGATTCAGGGTACACTTATTTGCTGTCAAGCTGCTGCCCTCAAGCTGAGAAGTGTTAGATAAATTTAAGTATTATAAGTGAAGAAGAGCAAGAGACTGGAACAGGGATTGGCAGTTTTTTCCTGTAAAGTGTTGGTTTCTGTTAAGGGTAGGGATTGGCGAACTTTCAGCTTTAGAGGTCATATTTGGTCTCTGTTGCATTTTCTCTCCTGCAGTGGGCTTTGGTACCAGATAGCCCAAGTTTCTTATTCTGGTATTTCTGTTTTTCCATCTTATCCATTTCCATTTCCCATTTTATCTGGTTTTTTTTTGTTTGTTTGTTTGTTTGTTTTTTTTTTTTTGTCCTGTATGTATTCTTTAATGCAGGTTTGTCTTACTCCAATCTGTAAGAATACCAGTTTTCTGAAATTACAGTAACGTCATCTTCTGTTTCCTGCAGGTAATTATTTCTAAAGTGATACTTTTCCTCAAACGGTCACAAGACTTTTCTCCATAGTTCTTGTTGATTTATGTGTCTTATCCTTAAATGAGCACACTGTTTCTAGATTCAGTATTTGCCAACAGATAGCGTTTGGGAAGTTGTTCTCAGTTCCATTTCCTATCTGTTTGTACAGTGGATAAATTCCCTTCCACGATCTTAATAGATTAGTTAAGTTGATGTACACAGCTCCTAGCCCAATTCCCAGGTTCTTTTAGGCATTTAACTCAAAATGTTGTGGTACTTGTGTGTTATTTTTTATTCCCCACTACCTACTTCTCTCATACTTAGTACCCACGCATTATAAGGAAAATTATGATACTTGTCATGTGTTCTCTGAGAACCTCTGTTATATAAGCATGATGCATTATACTATTACTATTACTATTACTGTTACTATTACTATTACTGTTACTATTACTATTACTATTACCACCACCCACCAACTTCCTGCCTTATTTGGTTTGGGACATGCTGTCTTTGATATAAGAAGATGCTGGTCAGTCAGGGGTAGAGAAACAGAATGGATAAATTAACAGTCTATGACGGCCTCAGAAAAACAGTACTCTTATTTGCATTAGGTGCATACTTAGCTAACAGAGTGCAGTGGTAGATTTACAGAGCCCCTGGGACCCTGAGTCATGGAAGAGAGGATAGGGGCGCCTGGGTGGCTTAGTCGGTTAAGCGGCCAACTTCGGCTCAGGTCACGATCTCGCGGTCCGTGAGTTCAAGCCCCACGTCAGGCTCTGTGCTGACAGCTCAAGGCCTGGAGCCTGTTTCAGATTCTGTGTCTCCCTCTCTCTGACCCTCCCCCGTTCATGGTCTGTCTCTCTCTGTCTCAAAAATAAATAAATGTTAAAAAAAAAAAAATTTAAAAACAAAGAAAAAGAGAGGATATATCCTCCCGCCCCCCGCCCCCACACTTTTATGAAGTTGTAGTTTTATGAGGCAAAGCGTGAGTGTTTTAGGGGTGGTTTTTATTTTAACTTAGTTTTGTTTTTCTTCTAATCAAAATTTCTTCCAGACTTTGACATTATGTTTTCTCTTGTTTTTAATTGTAGGTGTATGAATTTTTGCTTTATTCTGTATTGCAGGTATTATTTAATGGGATTTTTGAGGAGGCAGTGTCTGGGGCTGCTAGCCAGCTTCCATTTAAATTGAAAGGCTTTGGGCACACTTCATCTTTATCCTTGCTTAACTTCTCCATTGTTGTCCATGTTTACCATGTTATATATTCGTTATTTTCTTAAAAATTCAGCTTCAATCATTTCTGATTTGCCTTTTATTTATACCTCAAATGTTCGTTTGGCATTAGATCCTCACACACTTTCATATCCCCTTAAGGGACTTGGTAGGGACTCTGCATTCCTCATCCCTAATAGAGTCTAACATCTAGGCGCCATGTTCTGCATATACATTATTTCAGAAACTCAATCTTCTCTACTATGCTTTTAACACATAACCTATAAACCCCCAAATCTTTATATGTCATCCAGATCTCCTTGATGAACAACAGATCTGATCATCTGATTATCTACCAGAAATACCTTGTGTACCTTGCTCATAAGTGTCTTAAATCAGCATGTCCACAAGTAGACTTATCCTGCTCCCTTATTTTATATTCTCTGTTCTAATAAATGATGTCTCATCCAGTCAGCCACCAAAGCTAGCAATTTAGGAATCATTTTTTTTTTTTTTTTTTTTTTTTTTTTTTTTTTTTTTTTGCTTCTTTCTTGTTCTCATATCCCATAACCAGTTGGTACTGGTATCTTTATTCTACTTGCTAAAAGATGTTGAACTATCTTTTCTTTATCCCGAGACTGTCACCTTAGTTTAGGCCCTTATCTCTTGCTTAGATGGTTGTTCTGATTGTACTGATCCGTAGCTGCTCTGCCTCATTCACCAAATATGGTGGTCCACAGAATAAACTTTCACACCAAAACTGGCATTGAGAAAGTAACAAAGGAAGTAAACAAAGGAAGACCAGTTCGGAGACTACTCTCAAACGGAAGAGGAGACATAGTAAGGATAAGAATTGGAGAAATGACTAGTATAGCACCTGATGGATATATGTACTTTTTTCAGTTGTGGCTTGGAAATTATAGTAAATATATATAGGAGTGGCTGCCTAGCTCAGTAATTTATTCATGAGGCTGTGTCTTTGCTGTTTGTTGTCCCATTTTCTTTTTTAAAAAAAATTTTTAAGTTTATTTATTTTGAGAGAGACAGTGCAAGTGAGGGAGGAGCAGAAAGAGAGTGGAATTGGGGAGAGACAGAATTCCAAGCAGGCTCCACACTATCAGTGCAGAGCCTGATGTGGGGCTTGAACTCATGAAACCATGAGATCATGACCGGAGCCAAAACCAAGAGTCAGAGGACGCTCAGCTGACTGAGCCACCAGGCACCCATGTACCATTTTCAAACACCAGACTTGTATTCTTTCATCATTTGCCTCTCTGCCTATATAATATTGGTCAAGAGATGAACATCTGACCCAAGCTGGGTAAACGAAATGCCTTAGTCCATGGCCACAGTGATTGGTGCATACAGTGGGCATATGAACCAAATTGGACTAATCAGACCTTTCCTAGAACTCTCTTCTAAGTTGAACTAGAGAAAGATAATCTTTTCTATTTGGTCCTCAGGGCTGTTAGGATGTGAGCCCATTTCCTTCTCTCCATACTTTACAAGGAAGCCTACATTAGGAAAACAGAAACCAGCCTGTAGAGAATTACAAATAGCCCTTATGGTCTTCATGTCCTTGGTTTCAGGGGCTCCTCAGAATAGTGCACCCCATTCTCTGAATGGTCATGTAGGTCAACAGATTCTCTCTTTTAACTTAGTTAAGAGTTTTCAGTTGTAATCAAACGGTTCCAACTATTACAAAGCTGGGATCAATACTTTGTCAAAGTTAACTTCCAGGTATCTATTTATATATCAATTCTCTCTTACAGCTTTGTAACTGTATCCATGTCTCTTCCCTCTCCTTGAACTCCTTGAAGGCACAGGCTGTATCTTAATCCATCTAGCTTGCTTTTAAGCCCATACCTAGCATAATGGCTGAAACAAATTAGGTGTTTAATAAAGTTTTGCTGTTGAATAGCAAAGTTCATATAAGATAAAATTTTATTAATTTGTATGGAGTGTTTTCCCTTTTGGCACAGTGTTTGTTTCAGGGATGGGAGAGAGTTGTATTATATTGTTTTTCAGCCATTTTTACCTAATGAGGATTTGAAACCTACTTCAAATTTCCTCTTTACTGTAACCTTTAATGTTTACTACAATTTTTAACCTTTTGTATGTGTAATATACTTAAAACCACATTCAATTTCGCTTTAGGTTAAAGGAAATTATATATAAAGAGAGAAATTCCAAAGCACAACTCGAAGTTATGGTTCACAAACTTCAAAACGAAGTAAAAAATCTAAGTATTGAATTAATCAAAGCAAGAGATCAACAAGAGTATCACATTAGACACTTAAGAACCCTGGAAAAAGCATTAGAAAAAATGGAGAGGCAGAAGGGACAACAGCAAGCAGCACAGGTATTTCTCTTTAAATCCGTCAACCATGTGAATTAACACAAATTCATAGCTTTCATCTTGAAACAAGTTATATTGTTATAGAGTAAACTTCAAAGATGTTAGACTATATGCAAAAATTAATTTAAATGTAACAATTCCTGTGGAATTCTTTCTTTTTCTTTTTTTTTTTTTTAAAGATTTTATTTTGGGCACTTGGGTGGCTCAGTCCGTTAAGTGTCAGACTCTTGATTTCGTCTCAGGTTATGATCTCACGGTTCATGGGTACAAGCCCCCACATCTGGCTCTGTGCTGACAGTGCAGAGCCTACTAGGGATTCTCTCTCCCTCTCTCTCTGACCCTCCACCCCACGTCACTTTCATGCTGAAAATAAAAGTAATCTCTACACCCAATGTAGGGTTTGAACTTAGCAACCCCCCGATCAAGAGTCGGATGCTCTACCAACTGAGCCAGTCAGGCCCCCCACTCCCCACCATGGAGTTATTTCTGACTAGCACTTGCAAAGCAGTTTTAAGAATAGTTGGTGGAAATATTGGAGGTTATTAGGCTTATGTTCTGGGAGCCAAGTTTTAAAAGTCTCTTTGGGGATCCCGAAGATATTTCATTTTCATGCCTTTTGAGTGGAAGTTATTGAGGTCTATGATGTAACTAAACAATAGTTAATGCTAGTCCGATGCTTCTAAGACTGTACTTTTATGTGACCATGGCATCATTAATTTAATAAATTGGCAAAAAAATCACCTTAGTCACCAGGTTCTATTTAGAAGTCAGTTTTCTTTGGGGAAGTAGCATTAAAATAGAAGCAGGGAGAGTATTATCTAAATACTGTAATGTATATATTTACTCAGATACGACTTATCCAAGAGATGGAGCTCAAAGCTGCTGCTGCTGATAGAGAAATAAACTTACTTAGAACTTCTCTTCATCAAGAAAAGGAACAAGTACAACAACTTCATGAAGTTCTTACATTGAAAGAACAAGAACACAGGTAAATGAAAAATACATCAGGAAAATGACTTTTAAAAATAGAGAAAGAAAGCTTCTTGGTTCCTCCCTACCTTACTCACTTACCTAAAGCTAGACTGATTGATCAGTGCTGAAGTCTGACAGAATTAGCTCATGGAAAATAACATGTTTAGGTATGCATTAAAATCAGTCTTACAGAAAGAACTGATAGCTTACAAACAAATAGGTGGCTTTATTGAGGTAAGAACTTATAACAATGAAGCTCATTTTGCATTTTTTCAAGCCCAACCAAAAGTCAGTCATTGTAGTAGAGAAAACTATTTTTTTTTTTAATTTTTTTTTTTAATGTTTGTTTATTTTTGAGAGAGAGAGACAGAGACAGAGTGTGAGCAGGGGAGGGGCGGAGAGAGAGGGAGACACAGAATCGGAAGCAGGCTCCAGGCTCCGAGCTGTCATCAAGGAGCCCGACGCGGGGCTCGAACTCAGAGTGTGAGGTCATGACCTGAGCTGAAGTCGGACGCTTAACCGACTGAGCCACCCAGGCACCCCGAGAAAACTATTTTAATTGACCCCCAGGTAACTGCCTGTTAAATTAATCAATAGCCTTTATTCCTCTGTAGTGCAGGAGTCAACAAACTTTTTCTTTGAAGGGCCAGATAGAAAATATTTTAAGCTTTGCAGGCCATACCTAACTATATTTTTGTAGTAATAAAGTAGCCATAAGCAATATGTAAATGAATGGGCATGGCTATGTTCCAATAAAAGTTTATTTCCAAAAAAAAAGAGTCTCCGGCCAGATTTGGTCCATCACTTATAGTTTGCCAGCCCTGCTCTGTGGAGTCCACAATAATTTGAACACTTGCAGCTAGTTATCTACTTACTGCCCTACCAGTTGAATTGTGTATTTGCAGGAGTTAATTGTGTTTGTTACCAAACCTGTTTTGTTTTTGCCCTTATGTAAATGAAATTTTTACTGTATAAATTTAAATTTTGATGCACTGGGGAAAATTGTCAACATGTGCAGGGGCAGAACGACTATAAAAGATGAGGGGGGAAATAATTGTAAAAATCTAAAATTTTGCACTTAGTTTCCTTCGCAGATATCTTTTAACTTCTTGTTCTGATTTAAAGAAACCAAAACTAGAAATAATGGATTTTGTATTATGGGTTTGACTTATTCAGGAAAAATAGTGGAAAACTGTAAAGAATTAACTCATATTTAAATAAACTTGCCCTATATCTCAAAAGACCAGTGAATACTTTCACACTTTAACTGATTTTTTTCTCTTAACCAACCACCAGTACCAGTCAGACTATATTAGTTGTATGTCACGGTTGTATGTCAAAGAAGATACAGTGAAGTAGAACTTGACTTCTACAAATGCACCTGAAGAATTTTAGAAATCGTAAAATGATTCTGAACTATCTCAGTGAAGTTAAGATACAGCAGACCCCTTTTATCCCCATCACCACTGAATACATATAGTCTTCGTCTAACTACCATCCTCCGCCAGGTTGTTTTTGAAAGTGACAAGCTGATTTTAAGTTAACAATAGAGAATATAGAATATTTAATAACTATTTAAACAGCCTTAAAGTTTTTCTTTCCAGATGAATAGCATCCTGCAATTTTTATTTGTATTTCATTCCAGGAAAGAACTTGAAACAAGGGAGTTTCTCAGTGATGCTGAGTTCCAAGAAGCCTTAGCTAAAGAAGTAGCTAAAGAAGAAAGAAAGCATGAACAAGATATAAAAGAGTACCAAGAAAAAATTGACACATTAAACCAACAGTATATGGATTTAGAAAATGAATTCCGTATTGCTTTAACTGTTGAAGCCAGAAGATTTAAAGATGTAAGAATTTGCATCTAGCTTTTTATTGAAAACAAAATCAGCAAGATATGGTTGGATGAGAGGACTACATTTTAGAATTCTACATTTATTTACATGTTGCCTCTGTGATTTTAAGCAAATTACTTAAATTCTTAGAGCCTTAGTTTCTTCACAAAAATATAGCTACTCTTCAGTGCTGTTGCAAAAACTGAGTGAGATTATAAATGGTCAAGTAAAGACAGCACCGGAATAAGAATTGGGAAGCCTGAATTCTATTTCTATAGAGCAGGGGATTGGCAAACTAAAGACCCTAGGCCTATTTTTGTAAATAAAGTTTTATTAGAACACAGCCACAGAAACAAATAGTTTCTAAATATTTGGAGAACTGCTATTTATAATGCAATTTTGAAATATAGGTTAAAGATGGTTTTGAAAATGTTGCAACTGAGTTAGCAAAGAGCAAGCATGCTCTTGTTTGGGCTCAACGAAAAGAAAATGAATCTTCCTCTTTAATTAAAGATTTGACCTGTATGGTGAAGGAGCAAAAAACAAAACTTGCAGAAGTTTCGAAATTGAAACAGGAAACAGCAGCAAATTTACAGGTAAAACATTGAAACATTTTATTTCCTCTTTAATTTTTTATATCATAGTCTCATGTATATTGTGATGATTTTAATGCTAAGTATATATATGCATATGAGAAAAGTAATATAACTAGGAGATTAAACAATGACTTCACAGATTGTATTGCTTACACTAAAATGGTATTTAAGTAAAATAAGTGAATTTAAGAACTGTACTTAGGTAAATAGGTTCCAGTTGTCTGTGATACAGCAGAAATTGTGATGGTGATACTCAGATGGTTGAGGTTCGGGAAATGGCACACAAATTGCTGATAGTCTTGTGGTGGTGATGGTTGTCTTTAGATAGACCTAGCTATAGTAATTCTTAAATTAACCTTTTTAGTGCTGTTGTCTCAGTTTTAAACATTAGCTGTATTTTGCCCAAGAAAACTTAATTCCAGAAAGTGACCTTTAGATTATTGATATAAATGCTGGGTGAGAAATTTTGAGTATTACATGTATAATTGCTCTTTTAAGATAACTGATATTAGAATAAAATTCAGCGTTCTTAAAGCAATAGTCCCTTAAAATTTGACTTTTTATTTTATGACGTACACTTATCTTAAAATGAAAACCTTTGTAATGTAAAATTTAGGAGCATTTACTTTGTATTTGGTTAGATAACAATTTTTCTCCTAAAATGCAAAAAGTAAAAAATTGAGCACTTAAGTGTAATACTGTGCTTTTTTTTTTTTTTTTTTTTTTTTTTTTGATGTTTTTTGGGGATATACAGAATCAAATCAACACCCTTGAAATCTTGATTGAAGATGACAAGCAGAAGAGTATTCAAATAGAACTTCTCAAGCATGAAAAAGTCCAGCTCATTTCTGAGCTAGCCGCCAAGGAATCACTAATTTATGGTTTAAGGACAGAAAGAAAAGTATGGGGGCATGAGCTGGCACAACAAGGTAAAATTTTCAAAGGGAAAATAGCTCATTCTTCTAAACCAACAATTCTGGGTATTGATGAGAAAAACAAGCACTCATTAATTCTGCCTAAGACATACCAAAAAAAGGCAACACTTTATATGGAAGGATAAGTAAGCATTTGCCAGCCAAACAGCCAAATGAAATGCCTAAGATGTGAAATAGTTTATTACACTAGTTAGGAAGTTACAGCTCTGATTTTTTTCTTAATTTTGGTTTTCTTCCCAACATAATTTGGTTACTTTTCTGATCAGGTATACATTTACAGTGCTTCAACTAACTAAGTCATTGAAATAATTCTTACACAGTGATTTTAAATTATTTGTATAGTATGCAGTATTCATGTTTTTTCCTAAAAATTTGGTAACACTTTTGTTATACATAGAGAAATGTGAGAATAGTGTATGAATGAAAACCACTTTAGGTGTAGGTATATTTACTCTTAGTCTCCTTTCTTTTCCAATCACTAAAGCAAGAGATAGACACTGTTTTATGGCCTTCATAGATTACAAATTATGAATAGCTAGATGTTGGTCTTAGTGGAGAATTGCTCATTTGTCCATTCCATATAAGAATCTTTAATATGATTGTTTGAATGTCATAAGTTGATCAATTAAATATCACATGTCTGAGTTACTTGTTTTTGATTTGTGGCTTTAGGTTTTCCAAATAGCCACAGGTGTTTAAAGGGCCTTTTGGTTCTTTTCCCGTTTCCTTTTATATTATGCTTTATGTATTTTGGGTTTTTATTCAGTTTTTCTTTTTATTTACTTTTTATTTACATTGTTAAATTAGATATTCATAAAATACAAATTCTCCAAGATCTTTAAAAGTTTGTAACTCATGATGTTTATTTCTCAGGATCGTCTCTAGCCTTAAATCGTGGCAAATTAGAGGCTCAAAATGAAAGTTTATGTAGAGAGAATGAGTCTCTGAGAAAGGCAAATGAACGTGATAATGATGCGTTAAGAATTAAGTGCAAAATCATAGAAGACCAAACTGAAACCATTGGAAAATTAAAAGTTGTAAGTTTGATACTTTATTTTGGGAAAAGAGCATGTGGCAGTTTTGTAAATCTGTGGATCAGAGTATCGAATAAATATCTGTCTCAGTGAATCCCAACTGTTGTGGAATTTGGGACATTATCAGATGTTTCCTTATGTAATCTATGCCCTTTGCCTTTTAAAATGACTGTATGGCCTTTATTAACTTTAAATTACTTTTACCTCAGAATTTTATGGGATGTTATCATGGTCCTGTGAAATAACTGAAAATAATGTTATTAAAGGGTTAGGAATCTTAAGAAAATTAATGTTTTATGTGTTTAAAATATCCATTTAGAGCACTGTTTAGGATCTCCTAATATTGCTAAATTCTGAAAATTGTGACAAAACCCAACTATTCTGTATTTAAAAGTAGAAATAGTTTGTAAAACTATGCTTGTTCCCAGGGGAAACCATTTCACCTTCTTCTCCAATATGGCATATCTTAATAGAGAATACTACTAGGTTCACTTGTTTCAAAGTATGTTACATGAAAATTTTCCAGAGAAATTTTTTGAAAGTTATCTTGAGCACTGAATCAAATTTGATCTCCAAAATTTTCTTCTAGAGATTATCTCTTACAGTGTAAAACTGAGCCTGGCTGGCTCAGTGGGTTAAGTGTTCAACTCTTGATTTCAGCTGAAATCATAATCTCAGGGTTCGTGAGATTGAGCCCTGCGTTGGGCTCCACACTAACAGTGAGGAGCCTGCTTGGCATTCTCTCTCTCCATCTCCCTCTCTTTCTGCCCCTCCTCCACTCACACATGTTCTCTCTCTCTCTCTCTCTCTCTAAAAATAAATATTTTTTTAAAAAGTGTAAAAACTGAGAAAGGAGTATTTAAAAAACTTCTAAATGAGATTATCACCCATTAAAAGTAACAACTCATTCTTCAGAGTAGCTATAACTGCCCAAGATTTAATTTTCTTTTTCTTAGTCATTTTTAAGAAACTCCTTGAGAACTTGACTTTATCAAGTACAGAAAATAAATCTGTATCACCATGTTGCTATATCCTTAGCTAGGTTTAGGCCATGAATGCCTGAATTGTATCACTCTAAGCAATTACATTGTTGTTCACTCCATTGAAATTTGGTTTCAGTATATCCAAAATTTCAAATATATCTGTCATACATGCCAACGTGCAGTGAAAATTATTGAAATTTTTTAGCAGCAAGCCTTTTTTCTTGTTTGAAAATTCTAGCCAAACATATTTTCCTTTGAGTTAAGCTAAGTATGAAGCAGAAAGACCTGTGATTTGCTTTTTAAATTTCACAAAGCAAACAGGGGATACCATGGGTACAAGACATTGATTTGACAAAGCTACTTCTACAGAAGACTACTGCCTTCTTGTCAGTCTCAGGGCAGGAAGGAAATGACTAGTAATGAATGATACAGTGGAGCCAAAACACTGTTGAGTTTTAGTTTTAGAGTTTTGGTTTTAAAAAAAAAGTTCAGATTTTTCAACCCATCATTCTTTTCCCATAACTTACTACATTTACTTTAGAGAACACTGCACAGCCTCACAGGTGTGAGTATTAGGGTGCTTTCCCACCAACCATGTAACAGAGAGAGATAGTTAGGCATAATTTCTTTCAGCAGTAAATTCATCTAAAACCGATAATGACCTTTATCTATTGTTAAGTTGGATGTTCATAGAATAGAAAACCTTCAGGTCTTTTAAAGTTTGTCACTGATCGTGTTGTTTCTCAGGATTTTCATTAGCCCAAAATCATGGGAAATTAGTGGCTCATATTGAAAGTTTATAGAGAGAGAACAAGTCTCTGCAAAAGGCAAATGAACCTGATACTAATGTTTGATGTTTTGGAGTGTGATATTTTCAATTAAATGGAACCTATAGTTAGCTTCTGACTATGGGAATCAGAAGCAGAAGTTTTTTTAAAAATTCTGTTTCTGCCCCATATATTATTTTGGTATTTTTCAGTATATCTAGGTCATAGTACTCTCTGATGCTGTAATGTTTATCATTCTTTTTGATTAATAGGGTTATTTCATAATAATTTTTTATAGCTTTTGTGAACTCCCATAACATGTCGAAACTGCTCACTCTTAGTGCTTCAGAGAGTCAGGGGGACAAAATAAACAATTCATGACTTTTTTGCAAATGTTGGTCAAGACTAGGAGACTACCCAACATCTTTGCTTAGATTTTTGCATATGTAACACACTGAGGAATTGAACTGCATTGTTTATAATTCTTATGAATATATACTTAAATTGGCCTTTCCCAGTATTTGTGTGTTTGCCTCCATCTTGTTCCCAAAAGGAAAAAAGGCAAGGTGGAGTGGGGCAGAGGAAAGAGGGTAAAAATAGGAACTGCCAATTTCATCTATTCTCACTTACAGAGACTGATACCAGTAGTCGGTGTGTAGCAGACTGTTCCAGACATCCAGGCATGCCCCGACAAAGCAAAGAAATAGTCATTGGAATAAATCACCTATAGGAAGCCTAATCCCTGCAGACATTTAATGCTGCCTAAGGTGGTTTTGATCTTTCATTATCCTCTGATTTGTAGTATGCACATACAGGATAAAGTCTGGCTCATGGTATAGAAGATAGCATAAAAAGTTTGGGGAGATGTAAACCCTGTTCTTATGTGACATTTTAATAGTGATAAAATCATGCTTTGTTTTGAGGTAAAGCATTTATTTGCTCATCCTGATGCAGAAAGCACTTCTGTTGAATATAGTAGAAATAGCAGTTTAATTAGTGCCACACGTACTGTGCATATCAGTCTTTGCTGTATCTGTCATCCACCTAGAGTTTTCTTTCTCTTTCTGTCATGCAAACATTTTTTCAAATGCAAAATTACAGTAATTGAAAATTTTTATTGTGCCGCTTTTCCTTCTCCCTCTATGATTGATAATTGCTAACTTAACTTACTGAAATAAAAAGTGTAAAGGGCATAAGAATTTTATCTTCCTTTTTTTTTTTTAAATTTTTTTTTCAACGTTTTTTATTTATTTTTGGGACAGAGAGAGACAGAGCATGAACGGGGGAGGGGCAGAGAGAGAGGGAGACACAGAATTGGAAACAGGCTCCAGGCTCCGAGCCATCAGCCCAGAGCCCGACGCGGGGCTCGAACTCACGGACCGCGAGATCATGACCTGGCTGAAGTCGGACGCTTAACCGACTGCGCCACCCAGGCGCCCCCCTTTTTCTTTTTTTGTAATTTTTTAATGTTTATTGGTTTTTGAGAGAGACAGAGCATGAATAGGGAAGGGGCAGAGAGAGAGAGAGGGAGACATAGAATCTGACTGAGTCAGGCTTCAGGCTCTGAGCTGTCAGCAGAGCCTGGCGTGGGGCTGGAACCCACAAACTGTGAGATCATGATCTGAGCAGAAGTCAGACACTTAACTGACTAAGCCATCCAGGTGCCCCTAGAATTTTATCTTTCTTTTCAACGTTTATTTATTTTTGGGACAGAGAGAGACAGAGCATGAACGGGGGAGGGGCAGAGAGAGAGGGAGACACAGAATCGGAAACAGGCTCCAGGCTCTGAGCCATCAGCCCAGAGCCCGACGCAGGGCTCGAACTCACGGACCGCGAGATCATGACCTGGCTGAAGTCGGACGCTTAACCGACTGCGCCACCCAGGCGCCCCAGAATTTTATCTTTCTTAATAGCACTTAAAACAAAGTAGTAGTGATGTTTCTTGTTGATTGTTATTTAAAAATGTCCTGTAAATCTTTTTGAAAACACTTAGTGAATATAGAGTTTATTTTTTAATCTGTAGTTTTTAGAATCATTTTAAACCATTAAATCCAAATAGGAAATGAGACATCTGGGTTAATAAAAATAAAGTGCTGATTTTTTTGTTTCTCTAAGTGTGTACAAGAAAAAGAAGAACAAATCAAAGTATTACAAGAAAAGATCATTGAAATACAAAAATGTACCCAAGAACAACTTGATGAAAAATCTTTACAACTGGATGACGTAATTGAAAAACTGGAAAGACACAATGAAAGAAAAGAAAAACTAAAACAGCAGTTGAAAATAAAGGAATTAGAACTTGAAGAAATTAGAAAAGCTTATAGGTATTATATAGTATTTCCTATTGAGAAATAAAATGTGGCTTAATAGTTTCATATAACTAATTTTATTTTTTAAATTATTTCTTTTTGTATTAGTACACTTAATCAGAAGTGGCATGATAAAGGAGAGCTTCTAAGTCATCTGGAAATGCAAGTAAAAGAAGTAAAAGAAAAATTTGAAGACAAGGAAAAGAAACTTAAAGCGGAAAGAGACAAAAGTATTGAACTACAAAAGTAAGTCCTAAAATGTGTGGGAGATCTTCCTCTTTTATTTATTTATTTATTTATTTATTTATTTATTTATTTATTTATTTTAATATGAAATTTACTGTCAAATTGGTTTCCATAAAACACCCAGTGCTCATCCCAACAGGTGCCTTCTTCAATGCCCATCACCCACTTTCCCCTCCCTCCCACCCCCCATCAACCCTCAGTTTATTCTCAGTTTTTAAGAGTCTCTTACGGTTTGGCTCCCTCCCTCTCTAACTTTTTTTTTTCCCCTTCCCCTCCCCCATGGTCTTCTGTTAAGTTTCTCAGGATCCACATAAGAGTGAAAACAT